ATTAATCTAGAAGGAAGATATTATAATTATTAATGTTTGTGTATCTAATACAAGTTTCAAAAATACATGCAGCAAAGTGGAAAGAATTAAGAGAGTAATAGGCAGATTTACAGTAACACTTGAGGTTTTCTATGTTATACTCTTAGTCATTGATAAAACAAAAAGACAAATTTACATTAAGGATAATTTGGGCAAACTAAAACAAGACACTTGGTTTAATTAGCCTCATAGGATGATATATCTAACACTTGCAGAATAGACATGCTTTGATTTTATTATTTTATTTTAATTTTTGAAATTTCAGAATATTACAGGGGCACACACATTTTGGTTACATAGTTTGTTTTGTACTTTCAGGTCAAAGTTATAAGTGTGCCCTTCACCCAGAATGTGTGCACTGTACCTGTTAGGTGTGAATTAACCCCACCCTGCCCCCCACCTACTTAATTCCTATTGAGTTTCACTTCCTTATGTGCACATAAGTGCTGATCGACTAGTTCCAATTTAGTATGGAGTGTATGTGGTCTTTGCTTTTCTTTTAAATCACAGATGAAACATCCATCAAGAAAGACCATTTGTTGGGCCACAAGTAATAATAAACTTCTAAGAATTGAAATAACAAATACATCAGATCACAACAAAATTAAATTAGAAAAAAATAATGAAGAGCTCTCAATACTTTATAATTAAACAACACTATTCTAAATAACCTATGGATTAAAGAAGAAATAATAAGAAAAATTATAAAATATATTAATTTTTATAACAAGGAAATGCAACATCAAATTTGTTGGATGTGGTAAGAGCAGAGACTAGAGGTAAGTTTATAGCTTTAAATGTTTATATGAAAAAGGAAAAAAGATAGAAAACCAATTATCTAAACTTCCACTTTACTAAGCTAGAAAAAGGAGAAAAGCATAATAAAGCCAAAGAGGTAGAAGAAAGAAAATAATAAATAGCAAAAATTGAAGAAATACAAATGGGCAAACAACAGAGAAAATCAACACAGCCAATATTTGTCCTTCAACAAAGTTAATAAGACTTTAAATTCCTGATATACTTGAAGAAAAAAGAGAAAAACATAAATTATCAATACTAGGAAAAATAAAAAGACTATCACTATAAATCTTAAAAACATCAAAAGGATAATATTAGAACTTAATTAATAATATACTATTAAATTTGCTAACTTGATAAAATGGACAAATTCTAAAAAAAATACAACTTCCCAAAACTGAGAAGAGATAAAGAAATCTGAATACTCCTTTTCGTGCCATATTAAAGAATTTAATTTATCATAAAAAATCCATAAAGAAATCTTTGAGTAGAGATAAATTCACTGATACATTTGAAAAAAATATCAATTTACACAAACATTTTTAGAAAATCAGTCTAGGAACAATTCCAAAATTATTGAGGCCTATGTAAGCCTGAAACCAAAACTAAACAAAGATGTTACAAGGAAAGGAAACGGCAATGTCCCTTAGGAGCATAGACACAAGGCTCAGCGCCTGTGGCTCAAGTGGCTAAGGCGCCAGCCTCATACACCTAAGGTGGTGGGTTCTAATCCAGCCTGGGCCCGCCAAAACAACAATGACAGCTGCAACCAAAAAATAGCTGGGTGCTGTGGCAGGTGCCTGTGGTCCCACCTACTTGGGAGGCTGAGGCAGGAGACTCACTTGAGCCCAGGAGTTGGAGGTTGCTGTGAGCTGTGATGCCATGGCACTTCACCCAGGGTGACAGCTTGAGGCTCAAAAAAAAAAAAAAAAAGAACATAGACACAAAATTCTTAGCATAATTGAACAAAATGAATCCAACAATACATAAAGCATAGAATCATCATGATCTAGTAGGGTTTATTCCAGGATTGTGGATGGGTTTAGTATTTAAAAATCAATGAATGTAATTCACCATATTAACAGAATAAAAGAAAAACATAGAATTATCCCAATAGGCGCAGGAAAAACACTTGGCAGAATTTAACGCTCACTTGTGACTCTTAGCAAACTTGAAATACAAGGGAACTTTGTCAATGTGAAAAGGGGCTAACATGATACTTAATGGTGAACTAGTTCTGCTCTCATCAGTTGTATTCAACATTGCTCAAAAAGTCCTATCAAGTGCCACAAGGCTATTAAAAGAAATGCTTAGCAAAAAATTGGCAAAAGAAAGAAATCATAACAATCCATTATGACTCACAGTAGGTAATAAATAGATATTGTTTAAAAGCTAGATGATCAGACACAGTTTCCATAGAGGATAGTTAGAAAATAGCTATCACAATTTTAAATATTTAATAGCATAGGACATTTATCTCTGAAATTCTACTTCTGAGAATTTTTTCTAAAGATATACCTGGCACATGTGTGTGATAATTTACATACAAGAATGTTGCTGTGTGCTCTCTCTTTCTCTCTCATTATAAATTTAGTACACATTTGAAACAACCTAAATGTCTATCACCATGGGATGGGCTAGAATATGTTACGAGACATTCTATGGCTATATAAAGAATATTAATGGGCACTTCAATATGTTCTGATATGAGACAATCTGTAAGATATTTTTTATAGTTAAAAAAAAGCCAGTTGCAAAGCAGTGAATAGAGTTTGGCCCCCTCCTCACTGAACTATGAACAACTAGTTTAATTTTACTAAGGTGGTCCAAAGACTGCCTGTATTGGGACTCTCTAAGGACCTTGTTAGAAATCCCTATTCCCTATCCATCCCTGCCCTCCCCCCCCACATAAATTTTAATGCATACCAAATATTTGAGAGCTGATGAATGAATTAATGTACATTTTCTCTCAATCTCATGCTATTGCCTCTCCCACACTGGTCTGAAATCCCTCACTGTTCACGGTCAGTGAGGAACTGTGATTTCTGTGCTTCACGGCTCATGACAATCAATGCTGTACAAAGGCAGGGTGAGCCACTGGCCAAAGGGCAAGGTGAAAATGCCTCTGTTCTATTTCTGGCTTTGGCTGTGACATGGGAATGTGTGTGTCCTCTGTGACATTTCCTTTTCTGTGCTTTGATTTGTGCATCTGCTCTGTTGGTAAAATGATACCGCAGGGAGAGGGTACGGGGCCCAATGAGAAATTTTCTTAGAACCCTGAGTTCAAAGTAATGGGCTAAGGATTTTCTAAAGTATTCTCATGATTCAGAAATGCTCTTTAAAGAAACAAATAGCCACTTATCGGTTTATGATATTGATTAATCCACAATTTTAATTTGATTGAATTTTATTGCCTACAGTTTTGTTGTAAAACAAGAGCGAATGCCTATCTCTCTGCACTGAAAACTCACCACCTATTCGTCCAAATTAAACCAACATCTGGACACATTTACTAGGCACTAATCAGGAGTCAGAGAGAAAACTACTGCTGAGTGCCGTATGGTGAGACTAACAAGGCCACCACCATTGGGATTCGTGCTTCTCCCAACACGAGACAAAGTTAGGCCAGTAGTGGAGCCAAATTCAGCATAAGAAGTTGAGCTTGACTAGATGGAGTATCTGAATACAGTACTGCAGGGAAGGGTCTGGATCTGAGGAAAATGCACTGAGTGTCCTAGAGCTCTCTGCACTGCCTCGCTGAGCTCACTTTGGGAGCTTGACGCCCATCCACTGGCAGAGGACACCGGCCTCAGTCCTCTCCTGTCCTCCTCTGGATCCTGGTGAGAAAGATGAATAGTCAATCAGCTGATGGAGCATCATTTTTCATGGTTATAAGAACAATCTCAGGACCTTTCATGTAACTAGAGCTTTATGACTTTTTGACATTCTTTCGTAACATTATTTCAATAATTTGCACAATCCATTCTTTGTGTGAAGCAACAGGGGACGGATCATTTTCATTTGAATTGACAATAAAAAATGAGGCTTAGAGGGATTGCACGGCTTTCCTAAGATCTGGCTGCCGAGTGGAGACGATGAGCTTCATCTCAGGTCTTTATTTATTCAGTAGTTAAAAGTCTATCTTCCACGTTGCAGGCACTTGCTGAAGAGCCAAATAAATCACTTGTCCTAATTCAAGGCCCGCAGAGCCCAGCAGGAAGATTCTAGTTCATCCAATAGGAGGACAGATCCACTGGCTGGTACTTTCCAGTTACAAAAGCAGAAAAATACAGAATAAGTGAAACCCAAATAAACTCTTTTAGACACATAGCTGAACTTAGTAGAAAGAAGAGAAATCCCCACATGCCAGAAGTGAAAAGGAAACTTAAAGCTAACAAGTAAGCTCGCGGGCAGATGCTTCAGCCGGCAGAGGAGCAGAATCTGGACGTAGGTTAGGAATGGGGCTCAGGTGCCCTTGCTGGGATGAAAGGTGGGGGCAAGGACTTACGGGAAGCTGAAGGCTGGAACCGAGACGCTATGCTCAGGGATGGGAATCTGAAACGGCTGTTCTTTCATAAAGAGAAACTCAAAACACAGAAGCAATAATGAAGCCTGCTGTCAGCCTAGGGCTCTGAGTGGAAAGAAAGAAAAAGACAATTTGCAAGGTGTCAAAGCAAAAAGCTCCTTTCACCTATAGGGATGGCATGGAGACTGAGTGCACATTTCTATATGGGGCTCCCAAAGAGATTGGCATGAGACTGGACTGAGGCAGTTGCCCTGCAGAAGCAAGGGTCTCTATGGAGCTGCAGCAGTCCGGGGGACCCAGAGTAGCCACAGATAAGTAAGTCCCCTGGAAGATGAACTTTAAGATAAAATAACAAATACAAGAAAGCTATCAGCTATAAGAAAGAATCAGCAGACACAATACACATGAAAACAGCACATAAGAACGTGAGATATTGGAGCTATCTGAAAGAGACTAAAACTAAGCATGTTTTAATGTATTAAAGAGAGGACATAAAAGAAGGCCTAGAAATACAAATGAAATAACAGAGCCTGTGTGGAAAAACAAAACAAACAAGAGAAAGTTAAGCAACTTGCATTTTCAGAAAAAAAAAAAAAAATCCAGTCCTGGAGCTAAACAAGAAGATAATGTACCAACAGATTGGTACTTAGCTGAAGAAAGAAAACGATTGCCTGGGGGATCGAACTGAGGAAACTATCTGGAGATACAGACTATGAAGCTCAGTTTAAGAGCTATGGAGTCAAGGGTAAGAAGGTCCCGGCACACCTAGTGGGAGTTCTGAAAGTAGACAAGAGAGGGGAAGTGGGAGAGTCCGAGCCAGAGTCCTAATGCCTGAGACCTCTCCAGCCGACATTGTGTGCCACGCCCTAAGGAAGATGAAGAAATACAACCCAGAGTCAAGGCTGTCAAAGCTGGGGAGCACTGTAAACTGGCATGCAGAGGACTCACAGTTCAGGAGGGGCTTGAAGCAGGCAGGGCAGACCTCAAGGGAAATCAGAAACAGGCTCAGTGAGGCCACCAACCAGAGATACAAGGAGGCAATGTGGGGACAAACAGAGCTAGTGGACTGGGCAGTGAAGACGGGTGGGTGCAGGGTGGCAGCAGCTCCATGGCAGGAAGGGAGGACTGTCACTGGACGATCCATCCCTGTGCATCCTTCCTGCAGCTCAGGGAGGGTCTCCAGGAATTTTCAGCAGAGCAAAAACAGGGTAAAATTTGCATTTTAGAAGAGACTCTGGCTGCTGTGTGGACAGTGGACAGGATGGGGTAAAAATGGAAGCCAGGTCAGGAGCTGGAAGCTTGTTCCCCTAATCCAGCGTTAGATGGGTGCTGTGGGCTGGCATGCAGAGAGGGGTGGTGACGAGGGGGAGGCACCTCTGGAGGGGACAGAGGGGTGTGCAGGTGCGGGACACGTGCCTGAGGGACTGAGGATGACTCCCGAGCGTCTGGCTGGAGAACCCAGAGCCTGTTTCCCCTGACACAGCCACTCAAGCCTCCTGACCGTATCAGACACATGAGTTTCACGTCTCACTCTCTCTTCACTAGTCACTGTTTCACCATCTCTCTTTTAGTAGCCAACCCCAAACATCATTAATTCATGTTATTAATTCACTCTTATAAATAGTCTTGAAAGGAAATTCATGTTTAGTCTGGGGTCAACGGTGAATGTTCTTTGCCAGGAAGACATAGATGAGTGACAGGAGAATGCTTGAACTGTACCCTCTGTATAGGAAAGTGTCTTTAGAAGGGCAGAAAACACTTCTTATAAATACAGGGAGGTTCAGAGTATGGAAGTAACAAGGATTTTTGGGTGGGGGACTTGGGGACAGGTGTTGTTTATAATCACAGTGATAACTCAGCGTTGTAAAAGGAGTGATAACGGCCCAGGTGATAGGATATGGCTGGAATTCCACAGGGTTTTGGAGAACATCGGCTGGCCCTGCCTGTTCTCTCCAGGTCTCCTGATGGGTGCACAGTGGACACCCAGGAATAAGAGGAGATGATGGTTCTCTGCCTGGGAACAAGTTTCAGCACCAAAGTTACTGAACACCTCCAGTGTGCTAGAGATCCTTCGTAGGTGAATTCTCATACGCCTCACTTCAGATACAACTGTTACCATAACTGTTTTAAAGGTGAGAAAACGGGAGTCAGAGAAGCGCATTAGCCAAAATCTGGAGTGGAGAGAGATGTTTCACAGGCAGGCCTGTGGGGTTCCTGCTGTAGCCCCACCTGGAGCCCACTGCCTTCCTACTGGGGGGTGCTATGTGTGGGTAAGTCCCCTGCTTCTTCATGAGGGGTCCTATGGAGATGGCCAGGGTGGGGGCCGGGCTGGGCACCTCCACACTCTGGCTGTGTGGTCTCCAGAATTCACTTAACCTCTCTCTGCCTTGGCCTCCCCCTCTGTGAAATGAGGATCAAATTACACGGCTGCCAGTCCGTCTGCCCAGTGAAGCTGATGATTAATGAGATCACGGAAGGGGGGTGTGGTGCCCCAGGGCAGGCTCATTTATTTGGGAGCAGAGTCCATGTTTTTTCCTCCTTCCACACCCTGCCCCAAACTAAGAAAAATAATTTCTAAAAAGGTGAAATAAGCTAAGAGGAAAATTTACCAGAATTTTGTCATACACATTTAATAATTACAAACTAACTTAAGCTAAAAATATTGATTTTAGTTAATGATGTCAAATCACTACCCGAGAGAATGGCTTTGGTTTTGACAATGGCATAATTTTCAGGGGTTTAATCAGACTTAGCTTTTTCATTCCCTAAGTAAAATGGATTATTCACAAAGTGACATTTCAAATTACCACAGTTTCCAAACACCTGTAGGGCTCTGAATTTTCATCTTTCTCTAGGGAGAGTCTGGAGAATAGTTTAATTCCAAACCAACTCTCAGCCTGTTACAATTTTTCCAAGCACTGGGACTGAATGAATATTTGTTTTTCTCTCGAAAGCTAAAGCTAAGAGTTAAGGATAGAGTAGGGTTATCAATCCTTGAAAATATCATCAACAAGTACTCACATGCAGAGTCATTAGACGGGATACTTGGTGATTGTTCTGTGGGGAGTGTGGTAGGTAGTGTCTGCCTCGGGGTGGTTCAGAGCCTAAAGGGACATCTATGTATGTACACAGGTCATTTTATTACAAGGTGGCCTGAGCCTTGGTGACACTGACAACTACCAGGCCTCCTGGGAAAGTTGCTTTAAGATGAGCACACATGATTAGAGTTCAGAGGGGACCCACCGTCCTTCCCGGTGTCCGTCTGAGAACCTATCTTTGCAAGTTTCTGCTCCTCTGCTGGGCACTACAGATCCTGCCATTCCCGGCTGTGTGCCAGGGTGTGTAACAGGGGAACTGCGAAGATCAACAGGCCTGAGGTTTGTTTGAGACTCAAATGCCCACAGGGAGGAAGACAGCAAGTGAGGGCGGGGCAGTGAGCACATCCGGCAAAAGGGCAGCCCGTGGACAGGTCACCTCTGCCCTGGGGGGAGGCACAGGAAAGCTGGGCGTCTTTCCAAGAGGCAAGGAAGGTTAGGGTTTCTATGTGAAGTCCTCATTTTTAAATATTGGTGATTAGTTGCAAAACTGTATTTCTTTCCACACAGGGCACTGTGTCAGTCCACTCCTAGGTAGGAGCCCCGGTTCTAACTGTTCCCTCTGCCCCCAAACTCTCCGCTCCCATCCCCAGCACCATCCTGTCTCCGTGTCCTGGGTGGGAATGTTACACGCATGACCGACATGCGTGTGACAACTCAACTGTGGTTCTTATTTGGTGGCACAGCTACCTCATTTATTAAAGACAGCAATTCTGTCATTAATTAAGAGAAGCAGTTCTAAGCTCCACATGCAGATTTCTGGAGGGACCTGTATTCCAAATGCCTGTCCCCCTATGTAGCCAGCCAGCGTCGTCCTTCGCAGGACCTTTTACTCATTGTTCTTCCTTAGACAGAAGTGCAGTGTGCATTGTTTAAACTCTCACTCTGTTTATTCCCAAGACCTTTTACTTTAAAAAAGTGAGGAAAGTCTAGAGCCACTTTTAGAGTCTATTTCTTTGCAATCATTTTGTGAGTGAAGCCTTTAAAGATAGAGTGAAGCCCCCAGGTGCCCCATCAGCAAGCTCATTCATGGAGAATTAGATGTCTGCCCTGTAAACAGCTGTGGCCATCCTGGGCTTCTGGTGCCCTGATACCCCACCTTCCAGTGGCTTTGCCAGGACAGAGTGGCCAAAGTGGACAAACTTGCCTGAGGACACCGGGCATATCCGCCCAGCTCCCATTTAAGGCAACTGTTGTCTTTGAGACTATTGTTGGTGAGGCAGAGAAGCAAAAGATTCACGATGTTAGAAGGAAAACATCTTCCCATTCTAGTGCACATATTTGGACACACCGGGTAGGGTGGTGGTAATCTTTCCTGCAACCCCAGGCTAATATAAACTGCAGGTGCATTTGAAGGCCTCCTCCATGTATACGTATCCTGTGGGAGGCCTCGGGAAACAGGAGACATCGGCTGTGTCTCCTTTGAGATCCAAAGGCCACCCTGGTCCCACCAAAATCACCCTGGGCTTCTTGCTTAGCCACTGATTGGTGTCTGCGTTTGGGATGAAGAACAACAATTTGTAAGGCAGCAGCAGCTTAATGTTTGCAATTCCGTTGAGGACAAATATTAGCTGAATTCATTCTGTTTTTCTTCCTAACGCCATCCCCTGCCTTGAAGAGAAATTATAAGTGTAAGAAAGAGTTTGGAAATATTTCGAAGCCATGAGCGCTGGGCTTGATCTGTGTGTGAGACACAAGGGTAATCACATTAGAGACCACAGGCCTGATTGGTTAGCCTTATTTTGAATTTCTCTGTGATCTGGGGCATTCGTGATACCTAGCTGCAGTGGAATATGGACAGAGACGTCTGACAAGACATTTACCCTGAATATGTACTATGACTAAAGACAATTAGGGTGTCTATCTAAGGGAACGGAGGCTTACATAAGCAGTAATAGCACACGGTTGAACAAGATAGTTTCTCTAAGAAACTGAGATTTACTGAAATGGGTCCCAGATAGTTATTTACCCTTTGTGTTGCTCAGATATCCTGGCTTTTTAGTTTTAACAGCTATGATTATTCTGTGGAAAATCTCATAATATTGACATTGGATTTACCAAATACCTTTAGCTCTATTATGGGGAATTGATAGCAGATTTACTCACAAACCCAAGTATTAATTGTAACCCTAGCCTTTGCTTAAAGAATAGACTTCCCATAGGGTAAGGCTTTCAAGATCTTTGAAAGATGGGTTGCAGGAACAGAATTGAGAAAGATGTGTGCTCATTGGAATATTCCTAAGCATGCTTTCAAGAGCAAACACCTTGTGTTTGGAAAAAGCTTTTATTTGGGGGCTTATAATATCTGTGGTTTCTGTCTCACATTCTACTTGCCTATATTCTCATTAGGGTCTCAAGTTTCACAGTAACCACACAGCTACCCGGGCTCAGATTTAATCAGCAACAGACATCCATCAGGGGGAAGGAAGGACCATCCCTGCCCCCATGTAGCCTCCCATTAATGAAATATTCGCCAAGAAAACAGAGCTGGAATGCAAACAAACAGCATTGACCATGTCCTTGCCCCACTTCTAACCTCCTGTGATCTTTGGCTTCTGTTCACTACTTGCATTTATTTTGACTTCATTAAAAAAATGTAAGAGATGAAATTTCACTCAAGTCTGAAGTTCAAAGATTTACAGCCCAGATA